GGGTTCTCCGGCTTTCCTCCCTCCACAAAAATCAACTTCTAAATTCCAATTGGAATTACAGTGGATGACGAGCCACTCTGTGGAAATGCCACTGCTAAATCCTATTTATTTATTTATTTTTATTTATTCATTCTGTAGATAAAGAGAAAACACACAAACAAATCACCAAACCCTGTATCAATATTCCATTGCTATCTTTTACCAACAGGTTTACCTTGTCATCTGTTGCCAACAACATTTCAACATATGTCTTGGAGCTCGTACAAGAACAGTTGACAAGACGACAACCAGTAGAAAACATTTCCAGGAACCTGTTACGCCTTTTAACGTCAACATCGGGCTACAACAAAGTTCGTTTACTTGTGTCTCAAAAGATTGAAATGTGGTTATTGAATCCAAAGGTTAGTAACATAACTCTGTATTCCTAAGGGCCAAAAAGGACCAACATTTATTTTTCAAATCTGGTATCTTGAAAATCATGTGTTTTGATTAGCTGCACCATTATCATCATCATTACTGCCATCCTCCTCCTCCTCCTCCTCCTCCTCCTCCTCCTCCTCCGCCTCCTCCTCTTCCTCCTCCTCATCATTATCATCATCAGCATCATCACCACCATCCTCCTCCTCCTCTTCCTCCTCCTCCTCCTCATCATTATCATCATCAGCATCATTAGCATTAGCATCATCATCATCATCATCACTACCACCATCATCATCACCATCATCACTACCATCATCACCATCATCATCACTATCATCACTACCACCATCATCATCACCATCATCATCACCACCACCATCATCACTACCATCATCATCACCATCATCATCATCACTACCACCATCATCATCACCATCATCACTACCATCATCACCATCAACATCACCATCATCACTACCACCATCATCATCACCATCATCATCACCACCACCATCATCACTACCATCATCATCATCATCATCATCACCATCATCATCACCATCTTCATCATCATCATCATCATTGTTATTATTACTTATTGATCAATCTTTTTCAATTTATAGCTTACACGGCCAGCCCAAGAACTATTGATGTCATTGAGTATCAACTGTAACACTCATAGCCGAGACGATGTAGATGTCATCAGCAACTTGATAAGAATGAGACTCAAGACTAAACCATTAGCCAATCATTATGTGAGCTGTATCAGGTGCGCTACGATATTAATTGACCTATTTCACTATGACGTCACTGCTTGTTTATGTGGGAGATTCAACAAAATTAGCTCCTAGCGAAACAGTTTAATCTAAGATGGCCTGGTTTTCAGATATGATATGTGTTAATATGTACTAAAAAATATTCTGAGCGTTTGCTGGCTATTCTACTTCTCTTCATGGATTGATACGGGTTTTAGAACAATTTTCGGTGAATTTACGTTGATTTGACCCCCTCCGACGACCATGATCCTTTGCGTTTAAACAATAGATTGCTTTGATGTGACGTCATAGTGAAATAGGGCAATTCATTCATTCATTTTTCATTCTTTATTAATTTTTCCTTCTATTGGTTCATTTTTTGTTTCAGTTTCTCGTTCATCGTTACATTTCATCAAATTCTCAGTTTTCTTTTGTTCATTGATCATTTCATTTATTTTTGATTGAATTCATTTTTCACTATTCTAAGCCCTTCATGCTGTTATTTTTTAGAGAGTTGGTCAACCAGCATCCTGAAAATCTTGGCACTGTACTCAAGTACGTCATCTACAACGAGTTATCCACGACCCGTAACCCTAACAACATGGCCCTACTAGGGATGATGTTCCAGTACAAACCAGAAGCTGTATCTAAGGTACCTTTAGACTAAGCAAGATTAGTTACTGTCTTTTTGTTTACGAGGTTTAAAGGTTTCTTTAGACATATCATATTTCACTTAAACCAGAATTTTTTTTATAATATTTTTTTTCTTGAAGATATTGGCCATGGTGTTCCAAGACCTCTTGATGAACAAGTAAGTATTTCTCTATTGTGGTTGTGATTTTAGATTTTCAGCTTATAGTTAAAGGAAAATGCCTTATTTAACATCGTGTTCCTTCAGCTAGTAGCTGGTCTTCCAAGAAGCTGACAGTGCACACTCTAGCCCCCTCTTCCCCTAAAATTGATTATTCTCCTCTTTAAATATAAAACTGTCTTCTCAATTTTCTGAATTTGCGTTTTTTCAGTTTTGTGGCCCGTCAAGTTGAATGCGCACGCAACCTTGAGAAAACGGTCTATTTTACACATACTTTATATATGGTCTCATTGTAGTGGATGGATTCATTTTCTTGATTTTTATTTGTTTTGTTAGGGATGACTACTTGAGGGCTTGCAGAGCACTATTAAAGGAAATCGTTCGTGTCTTGAGACATGAAATGAACTTTGTTGCACTTTGCCGAGGGTTTATGCAGGAAAGAACAGACACACAGTTCAAAGAGCTTGATCCTGCTGTAAAGGTATGTTT